GCTTCTGGCTAAACTAATAGGAAGCGGAAGGCCGATGCATAACAATAGTCCTTGTTCCCTTTGTTCCCAAATGGGTGCCTCTATTGTATCCTGGAATAGACAGGTCCGACCATATCATCCACGGGTCTGGACCATAACATGTGATGTGGACTATCACCTGATCTCTACGCGTCGCGTCTGTGGCTGAGTGGCGTGAGATATTGGTGAAGCACGTGATCTGTGGTGTGAGAAAAGTCACGTGCGGACTTTGTGGCGAAAATCTGTGACAGTGGCCTGGTGCCACGTGACCAACACCTGATAACTTCTGAATAGGGCAAGTGACCAGTGTCACGTGACTGGGTGGCTGAATCATGGGTGCTTGGTGGTCATGTGGTAGACACAGTCATAGCTGCGATGTATGTGATGCTATTGTGCTGTTTGTCTAAGTATCCACTTTGTGAGACCAATATGAAGGTTGACATCCGAATAACCACTTGTGGTTGCCGAATGATGACTTTATTGGTGCAAAAAGAAAGGCGCCACTTAATACTGTGACAATGACTCTTTTAAGTTCTACTTTACAATGTAATTCATAAGCAGTGCTGATTGACATCAATGTCATGGTCGCACTTGTGCAGTGGGTTCCTGCCATTCTGTCGATGCACCAGCTCTCATCACACCTGCCTTATCATGCACTTCATATGCTCCATCACGGTGTTCCTGGCCACTCACAGTCAAGTAGCCTCGAGGCGACTGCTTCATGCCAGGGCTCAGACTATATTCTTGGTTTACTTTACCTTAGCTCAGATGATCCCTTATGTGCTCATCTCTCCACTGGATGATCTCATTCTTACTACATGTCCATTATATTCTGCCTTAGTATTGCATGCATCTCGCATGAGTCGCATGTATATAAGCTGTGCCGATTTGCTAGGAATCGTCGCAGAAGCAATGCCAGTAAATACTCGATGTCCTTCTTATTTGATCCTATTTGCTCCTCATCGTCTTCGCCTTTCGTAGTGCCCTCCTCTATCGAGTCGAGCCCTTACAGTTTGCTTTTGCCATTTTAGCCACTGACCTTCTGTTCTCGGTAGTGCGCTTGCCTTATCCAGCAACTTCCTTGCTTCTCTGTCATCACAGCTCAACACTCTCTTATCTTCCACCTCTCACGCCATGTCTTTTGACGACGTCTCGATGAACCTCGAGAATCTCTTCGGTCCTTCTCTGACTCAGCCGCAGCAACCTCAGCCTCACGCTTCAGCTTCTACTGCCATTCCTTCTGTCCCCATAGGTACTGATGACCTGCCTGCCCTGCAAGCTCTTGCCCAGGCTGTAAATGCTATCAATGGCCTAGCGGATGTGCAGACTACTTTTGCCATCAATCAAGCTGCCATTCAGGCAGTCCTGGTTAACCTTGCGACATCTTTGCAAAGCGCAGTGCCTGTTTCTGGCACCACCTCCTCGAGCACGATCTGTTTCAAGGATCCGCGAACCTTCAATGGCACACCTGCAGCTGTAGAACCTTTCCTCACTGATCTTTGCAATGCCATGCACCTTGCTCATCGCCAGCTCATGTCTGACTACGATAAATTGATATACATGAGCACCTGGCTTGAGGATGGCTCTCCGAAGTTGTGGTTTTGGGTGATTGAAAAGACCAAGCCCCAGCCTTTTCATGACCATGCCACCCTTATCGAGGAATTTCATGCGCATTTTGGTGACTCTGACTTCGTCAATAGCCAGATGAACAAGATCAAGAAGCTTGTTCAACGCTCGTCTGCTGCCAAATATGCCTCCTCATTTCATGAAATCCTCATCCACCTCCCTATCCATGATGACCTGATCAAGATCAATATATTCAAAAAGGGCCTCAAAGATGACGTCAAGGCTCTTTTCCTCACTATCTAGTCACCTACCGATTTTGATGACTACGTTGTGCAGGTGATTACCTTCAACAACCATATCTATGCACGTGCTCAGGGACTCAACATTGATCGAAAAAATGTCATGACTATTTTATCTGTCCTAGCTACTACTCGTCAGCATCATGTCTCTACCACACCATACATGCTGGCCTCGATGGACCCTGTTTCTATGGACGTCGATGCTGTCCATCATCACAGCCCACTGTCAGACGCGGAAAGGCAACATCATCGTACCCTGGGTTTGTGTGGATACTGCGGCAGCAAGCATGACATCAAGTCTTGCACTATCCTTGCAAAGCACAATACTGCATCTGCTTTGTCTGGTTTTTCCCAGCTGGGAAAAGCCAAGCTGGGGGCTCACTGAATGTCCCAGAGCCTCTGAAGACCAAAGGGACTGCTCTGCCCTCATCTCTGGCTTCCTGTAGTACCCATGTCAAGCTGACCTCTGGGTCATGGGTGCTGCGCTCTACTCGTGCCCCCACATTCTGTCTCTCTCCCCATCTCACCTTGTCTTTGTATGACAGCAATCATTTCTTCATCAATGTGTCCCTTCTTTTGCCTCACCACAAACCTCTTCATACTTTTGCGCTAGTAGACTCCGTGGCCACGACCTCGTGCATTTTGGACTGCTTTGCCTAATGTCACTCTCTTCCATGCTCACTCAAAGACACCCCTGTGCCTATTACTGCTGTTGATGACTGCCTTATCCCTTCTGGTCTCATTATGCAGAACGTTCTGACCCGTCTTGGCATCTGTGACCATAATGAGCATATTGCGCTCTCCTTGATCACTGTACCCTATCCAATCATCCTCAGCCTCGACTGGTTATGACGACACAATCCTGCCATCAACTGAGATCATGGCTGCCTTGCGCTTTCCTGCTGTGGTGCCTCTCGCTTGCCGCTACTCGCTTTTGGTCAAGGCTATGATCTTGTGCCACCTGTTACGGTTTCAGTGCTTCATGGTCATGTGACAGTTTACGTTGCACGTGA